AAGTCTTCCACCTTTCATCTTCAGTTATTATTACTGAACTTCCTGTAATTTTATTTGTGTACTTCTTAGCTGTTTATAGTTTTAGACACCTGAACATGAAGTCTTCCACCTTTCATCTTCAGTTATTATTACTGAACTTCCTGTAATTTTATTCGTGTACTTCTTAGCTGTTTATAGAGTTTTAGGAAACCTGAACATGAAGATTGCTTCATCTGTTACAAAAATACTGTATACACTTTTCCAGAATTGTTATTGCAATAGGACCAAAATTTGTAATAAAAATTTTCAACTGTTGATTTTCTTACTATTCTTGACAATTCATTTTTGTTTCACGCATTAAGTGTTTACAACAAGGTTGGAGCCATAATCATTGTACTCATAATTATGCAGTAAAGCACTCTGTAACTAATTTTATTTATTAAACAAATGTGTATTTAGCTAAAGTAATAACCTAGTATTTTGGATATTTTACAAGTAGCCTAAATTTAAGTTAAACAACAAAAATCATGAAGATGGTTGAAAACATAAAACATTTTATTTACAAGGTTCGAACGTTTCGGAATAACTTATTCCATCTTCAGAGAAATCTGAAAATTGTGTTACAAAGATGGTTATTACTAAAATTATAATATAGTAACAATCATTAGTTTAGTTAGTTATTAAGAAAAACGGTAAACGGGCGGATGAAACAATGTTTATATATATATATATATATATATTACACAACAGATGAGTTAAGTGTGAACATTTAGAATAGTATTAGATCTAAAGGGCTTTGTGAGTCGTTAAGGGTCGGGCAGTCTTTAGCTATGAGTAGACTTTCTTTAATGTAGAGGTCAAAGTCTGAAGATCTTATGATGATGATAGAGAAATCGTTAAATGAAATATTGTGACCTGTGGTTTCAGAATGTCAGTGAATGGATGAGTGGCTGGGTTTAAGTAGTGGAGGGTTGGTTCTGTTAGATACTCCTAAATGTTCACAGACTAGTATTTAAGTGTTTCGTTTTGCCAGTGTACGTGACCTTACAGTCACTACACATATTTATACACGAGCCATGAATGTAGAACTTTAGGTATTTGATCTTTGTACTGAAATAAGTGTTTAATGTGGAGGCTAGGTCTGTATATTATTCTAAGCTGAATTTGAGGGTAGAAGTTTTTTATTAGGGAAGAGAGTTGTTTTTTTAATAGGTATGGATTGCAAACCCATAAAAGGAAGGGAGACAATGAGGGAAAGTTTGGGGATGGTGTGTACATTGGCTGGTGGTTAGATTTTGTTGTTTAGGAAATTTCATGCAATCTTCATTAGAAAATCAATCGGATAGCCATTATTTAACATGTGTTTATGTAGAAGGGTAATTTCTTCATGGAAAATAAAATAATTAGAACAAAGATTAAAATTTCTGTTCAACAATGATATAACCAGATTACGTTTGAAGAAGTGGGGAATAAAACTATTGAAATTGGTGTAGAGGCCAGTAAAAGTTCTTTTACGATAAACAGAGGTAGAAAAGTGTTTACCTTCTTTGGTAATCCTGACGTCTAGGAAAATGTAAAGAATCATTTTCCTCGAGTTTGATTGTGAACTTGTTATTGGTGTGTTGGTAATTAAGGTAAGAAAGGAACTGAGAAACGTGACTCGATTGTCGAAACAACAAGTGTCATCAATATAATGTTTGTAAATTCACGTGGGATCCCATGGTGATTCCATCTACCTGGTCGTAAATGACACCATTAAAGAGAAAATGATTTAACTTTGTCGAGAGGACAAGAAGTTCCAATAATTGTTTACAGGTGAAACCAAGATACTGTTCATTGTCAGTGAGAAAGAGAAGGCCCACGATAAAATTTAAAGTTTCATCAAGAAGGACATTTTTATATAGAGATTCAATATTAAAACTGGCCATTACATAGTGATCAGCAGAGGGAATTTTTGAGATTGCAGAAGCAAATGTAAAAGAGTCAATAATCGTAAATTCGTTCAAGGTGAGGGGTTTAAGGACAGGAACGATAAATTTAGATAGGTTGTAATTGTAAGAGCCTACAGCTGAGAGAATAGGGTGGAGACGGTATCCAGTTTTTGTGTACTTTGCATAGACCATAAAGAACATCGGGTTTGGAGCCACATGGGACAATTTGTTGAAAAGTAGTTTCAAAGATAATATTTTGACTTCTGAGGGACTTGAGGAAACGTAGGATCTTATCTTCACTCTTAAAAGTTAGAGATAACAAATCTGTATTTAGTCACTCCACTGAGCTGGTGGTTTATTTTATCAATATAGTCTGCTTTTTTCATAATGACATATTGCCTTTGTCTGGTTTAGTAACAATAATGTCTGTTTTTAGAAAGAGTTTTAAGGGCTTGTAGTTCAGCATCGTTTAATGGAGAGGTAGGATGATAGAAATGATATCTATGGAACCTTGTAAATAAAATGTTTTATGTTTTATCAACCATCTTCATCATTAAACTTGTTTCCCCATCATGAATCCACTGTTAAATAAAAAATCAGAATAATGTTAATTTATTACATAAAATAAAACCTGATAATTATAACTTTACCTTACAAAGTTTGAAAACCTTGATGGAATGAAAGAGAAGATAACTAGAAAATTTGTTTTGTTTGCTACTAAGGCTATCTGTCACCCTTGCTAATTATAATATCCCCATGGCCAATAGAGTGTGCTTGTCCAACAATGGGTTTCTATCCCATGACTTTTCAACATATTCATTTGGGGCTTTTTTGTAAGAGAATGTTTGGAGTATTTTTTACATTACATGAAATAAAAAAAAATACTTGTAACTTGAACCAATACATCTTGTTACATCTTAGCAATGTAGTGCTGTTAATATTTTTCCATACTTCCTGCATATATAATGCAGAATTCTGTGTAAATGTGACCTGCAGCCCTCTGTCACTGCTTGTATTTACGAGTAAATTTAAGGTATTTTTACAACAGCACTCAAAAAATTACATACAGCTTCCTAAGCCACTGCCAAGCAGCAATCATAACCTCAACCACCAGCATTGAGGAGCAAAGAACACACGAGTGTGCACTTGACTGACAACGTGTTGAGCCGATTCAAAAGCATGAATAGTGTACCAAATAAAGTTAAGTCATATCTAAGATATTTGTGAGAGCCATGGGCTTAAAAATGGGGAATGCAACAAGAAAATAAATATTCAATTAAAAAAATCCATGACTCTACAATATAATGTAAACTTTCCATGATATTTCAGGACTGGATTTTTTTAAAGTTTTCCAAGACTTTCCATGTTTTTAAGCACCTGTTGAACTCTGTATCCATACTAAACATTGTATGTGACCCTCTACTATTTAACTTTCCCACCTTTTTGAATACAACTTTGCCCGTACTCATCCATCCATCCACTGATTATCAGACAACACTTCAGCTGAGCCAAATACCCAGTTATCCTTCTTTTCCCACCCCTCATCCAGCGATGATGACAGTTCACCCTATGTCAATACCTATCACAAACATCGTTCTAAAGATCTATACTCCAGGATGGATTTTATAAAACATTAACCCATCAATTATTAAATTTTCAAATCAGTAGAGCATCATAGGGCACTATCTGGCATTATTGTCACTAGCTAGTGAAAGCGGGTTTTCTCAGGGCTCTCCTGTCTCTCCCACCAACACACACACACCTACACATCCCCCACCACCCTGATGGACCATAAGTTCCATATCAGCCATTTCTTGTTTGTTTTTTTTGTGTGCTCATATTAGGTCTTGTTCTGGTCTTCCTCGGTTCTCTCGCCACCTTTTGCTTACTGCCAACTCAAACCTCCATGGTAAATATTATTATTATTATATATATTAGGTCTTATTCTGGTCTTCCTCAGTTCTCTCACCACCTTTTGCTTGCTACCAGCTCAAACCTCCATGGTAAATATTATTATTATTATATATTAAGTCTTGTTCTGGTCTTCCTCGGTTCTCTCGCCACCTTTTGCTTGCTACCAGCTCAAACCTCCATGGTAAATATTATTATTATTATTATATATATTAAGTCTTGTTCTGGTTTTCCTTTGTTCTCTCGCCACCTTTTGCTTGCTACCAGCTCAAACCTCCATGGTAAATATTATTATTATTATTATTATATATATTAGGTCTTATTCTGGTCTTCCTCAGTTCTCTCACCACCTTTTGCTTGCTACCAACTTAAACCTCCATGGTAAATATTATTATTATATATATTAGGTCTTGTTCTGATCTTCCTTGGTTCTCTCGCCACCTTTTGCTTGTTGCCAACTCAAACCTCCATGGTAATCATTATTATCATTATTAGGTATATATATATAATAATAATAGTGTAATCTATACATTTGTGAGTTACAAGATATATCTGTAATAAAATTTGTGTACACACCTTAACAGGAGCTCCAAAAATTGGTTGAGAAAAAGTTTCTTTTGCCAACATGTTCTGTTCCACCAGCTGAGCTCGTTCTCGACGTTGTTTTTCCCGTAGAATATCCCTGTCCACACTGGAAGAAAAATAACCACTGTATGATTGGATATTTTAATTTGATAGCTACGTACTTTTCATCTAAATATATTACCTACACTCAGACTGTATCATAGTGACAAAAACGGCCTACCTTGTGATCTTCAAAACTTAGAAAGACCTCTATTACTCCTAATAGTAATGTAATATAACAAGTTAGTACAATGATAATGTTTTATGTTACACAAAGCTACAACTTGACACTGTGTCCAATGGAATGAAACTAAAGTTACTGTCAGGTTTTATTTTATCACAGCTTAACACTGTATCTAATGATACTCAGGTTTTATTTTATCACAACTTGACACTGTGTCCAATGGAATGAAACTAAAGTTAATGTCAGTTTTACTTTATCACAGCTTAACACTGTATCTAATGATACTCAGGTTTTATTTTATCACAACTTGACACTGTGTCCAATGGAATGAAACTAAAGTTACTGTCAGGTTTTACTTTATCACAGCTTAACACTGTATCTAATGATACTCAGGTTTTATTTTATCATAGCTTAACACTGTATCTAATGATACTCAGGTTTTATTTTATCACAACTTGGCACTGTGCCCAATGGAATGAAACTAAAGTTAATGTCAGTTTTACTTTATCACAGCTTAACACTGTATCTAATGATACAAAATTAAAGTTAGTGTCAGGTTTACTTTATCACAACTCATCTAGGTTGGGGTAATTAGTTGAATTTGTTGATCAATTAATCCTCAGGTTCATTAATTCACTACACTCAAGTTATCAATTATTTCTGCAAAAGACTAATCTGGAGTTTATTACCAATACTAATGATAATATGGGCCTATGGCCCAAATTTTCACAGATCCTATAATGCAAGTTTAATGCTTGAACTACTATTTTGTACTTTTTTCAGTTTAATGCTTGAACTACTATTTTGTACTTTTTTCAGTTTAATGATCATTGACTCTATAATGGAAGTTTAATACCTTTAACCAAGTTACAAATGGTAATTAATAGGCCTAATCATTTACATGCTCCCCATAAAAGTGTTTCCACAAAATACCTAGGATTTGTAACAAGTTTTAAAAAAAAGTTTTACCTTTGTGCAAACCTAGGGGCTGAAATGATTTGTTTGGTACCACTCAGATGTTTGTGCAACCAGTAGTTTAAGAGAAATTACATAATGGACACAAACACACAGACAGTGGATTTTATTATACGGATGGTAATGTTGTTATCATTACACTTGTATGTAATATAGCAACCACAGAAATAGACAATTAATGATATAATGATGGCAATGTCATAACTTGGATTCAACCAAACACCTAGAGAACCAGTGTCTAATTACTGACATAATTATGACAGTGTCATAACTGTAAGTTGGATTCATCTACAGAACTGGTGTCTAAATGTAACTTCAATTTAATCAAACACCTACAGATATAGAGACTATTACTGATATAATGATGGCAATGTTATAACTAACTTGGATTCAACCAAACACTTAAAGAACTGGTGTCTAATTACTGGTATAATGATGACAGTGTCCTAGCTGTAACTTGGATTCAACCAAACACCTACAGAACTGGTGTCTAATTACTGGTATCATGATGACAGTGTCCTAGCTGTAACTTGGATTCAACCAAACACCTACAGAACTGGTGTCTAATTACTGGTATAATGATGACAGTGTCCTAGCTGTAACTTGGATTCAACCAAACACATAAAGAACTGGTGTCTAATTACTGGTATCATGATGACAATGTCATAACTGTAACTTGGATTCAGATATTTTACTTTAAGGAACTTATAATGTTAAGTAAATCATCATGTGTTCAAGCATAATTTTGTAAGAAATGCAGTCCATTCAATTTTTCTTAACTTTATAAATTTCAAATGTCCTTAAAATAAATCCCTCGAGAAGTTTTTCTAGAATAATGGAGAGGAGAAAGTACTAATTTTAAAGCTAGAGTATAGCACCATAACGTGTTTTCACTTTATTTCGTTACAAATGATGGAATGTTCAGTCCTGTTACTAATTTTAAACGTGGAGTAAAGAATCATAACATGGCTACACTTTACTCTTGTTACAAATGATGGAATGTTCAGTCCAGTTACTAATTTTAAATGTAGAGTATAGCATCATAACATGTCTACACTTTACTTTCATTACAAATGACTGAATGTTCAGTCCAGTTACTAATTTTAAAT